CTCTCTTTTTTTTACACTATTTGTATTACAGTGGTACCTCGGGTTACAGGCATTTCAGGTTACATACGCTTCAGGTTACAGACTCCGCTAACCCAGAAATAGTACCTCGGGTTAAGAACTTTGCTTCAGGATGAGAACAAAAATCGTGTGGCGGCAGCGGGAGGCCCCATTAGCTAAAGTGGTACCTCAGGTTAAGAACAGTTTCAGGTTAAGAACGGACCTCCGGAACGAATTAAGTTCTTAACCCGAGGTGCCACTGTATTATTAGCTTTCTTTCTATACATCTCTTTTTACCAACTTTCCGTTTTTGTACATGTCTTTTGAATTTGCTTATACTAAAATCATTTCTAATGGATTGGATAAGGTATGTATATAACCACATCTAATGAAATGTGTGATTCTTCAGCTTTTCGTTATATAAGCAACGCCACCCACCCACCCACCCAAAAAATGATCAGGCAATGCTAAGATATCTGAGCCACATGATGAAAGCATTTATCCAAACTCTTAGGAGAAGATCCTTCCAGTTGTGTGACTAAGGCTTTGTGTGAGCCTGGGCTTAGCATGTAAGTTGTGTCACACAGCTATAAAACAGGAGGTGAGTGATTTTTTTAGAGTGGTGGGCTGCAAAAGGGTGCTGAGGGTCCTTTCCTGCGCTACCCAAGCAACAACACCAACCTTTTAAGCTTCTCTAAAGGGACGCGGGTGGCACTGTGGGTAAAACCTCAGCGACTAGGACTTGCCGATCGCATGGTCGGCGGTTCGAATCCCCACGGCGGGGTGCGCTCCCGTTGCTCGGTCCCAGCGCCTGCCAACCTAGCAGTTCGAAAGCACCCCCGGGTGCAAGTAGATAAATAGGGACCGCTTACTAGCGGGAAGGTAAACGGCGTTTCCGTGTGCTGCGCTGGCTCGCCAGAGCAGCTTCGTCACACTGGCCACGTGACCCAGAAGTGTCTTCGGACAGCGCTGGCTCCCGGCCTATAGAGTGAGATGAGTGCACAACCCTAGAGTCTGTCAAGACTGGCCCGTACGGGCAGGGGTACCTTTACCTTTTAAGCAGGAGGCCGAGCAGAGGAAACCGCCTGGAACTTCTTCCATCTCTCTAAGAAGTTCAGTGGGGCTCGGGCTCATGAGAAGATCTTCTCAACGGTGGCTCAAAGAATGTAGAGCCAGATGATATGGGGAGCACGGCTAGTTCACCAGCACTCAGCGCTGCAATAATGATAAATAGTGGAAGGCGAGAGGTGCAGGGCACCAAATTTTGGCATCACACTGGGCGGCACTGAAAATTTAAAGCACAAGTCCGCCACTGGTAGAACTCCCTCCCCACAGAGGTACATCTAAGCATCATTCCTTTACAGCTTATGTCCATCTCTTGGGAAATTGAATAACTGATTTGGGTGCCCTCCCTATAATGCATTTATAGACTGTTGTTGTTTTATATGTGTGACCTTGTGACCTTCTGGTGAAGGACAGGTAAGAAATGCTACCAATAATATGAATACTACTAATACTATGGGACACAGGTGGTGCTGTGGTCTAAACCACTGAGCCGCTTGAGCTTGCCGAACAGAAGGTCAGTGGTTTGAATCCCCGCGATGGGGTGAGCTCCTGTTGCTCTGTCCCTGCTCCTGCAAACCTAGCAGTTTGAAAGTGAACCAGTGTCAGCAGATAAATAGGTACCACTCCGGCGGGAAGGTAAATGGCGTTTCCATGCCCTCTGGTTTCTATCACAGTGTTCTGTTGCATAGAAGTGGTTTAGACATGCTGGCGACATGACCCGGAATGCTGTCTGTGGACAAACGCCAGCTCCCTCAGCCAGTACAGTGAGATGAGTGCCGCAACCCCATAGTCGCCTTTGATTGGACTTAACCGTCCAGGGGTCTTTTACCTTGATCTTTACTATTAATACTACCAAAACTACTACTAATAACAATATGAACACTACTACGACTAACTAATAATGCAAGTACAGTGGTACCTCAGGTTAAGTACTTAATTCGTTCCGGAGCTCCGTACTTAACCTGAAACTGTTCTTAACCTGAAACACCACTTTAGCTAATGGGGCCTCCTGCTGCCGCCGCGCCGCCGGAGCACGATTTCTGTTCTCATCCTGAAGCAAAGTTCTTAACCTGAAGCACTATTTCTGGATTTGCGGAGTCTGTAACCTGAAGCGTATGTAACCTGAGGTACCACTGTAACTCAAAAGAGTCAATGTTATCCCTAGTGTTCTTGACCCCCAGGCTTCAGTTTCATACAATGAGTCCTCAGTAAGCTCCTTAGGTACTCTGGGGTACTCTTAAGTTACGCAATCCTATATTGTTTACCAAGAGTCCACTCATTTTCCAACTGTCAGTCCTTAAGTAGCCAAAGCAGCACGACCCACACAAAAAAGGAAGACATCAGCAGACAAAGGGGGACACCAAGGTTTTCAGATGAATAATGACTTTTTGAGGAGGGAAACGAATCCCCTAAACAGCCCGATACTGACTGACTGTTGCAGGGCAGAATTGAAAATTATGGGGGGGTGGAATGCAATATCCTGGAAAAGGTCATGGCTGGCTGGCATCCTGAATAAGAGCACTCCAGACTGCACCATTTTGTTGCGGGTTACACTTATATGACCAAAACCGGAATCCTTCCAGTTTCTAAACATGCATTATTAGATAAGCCATAAAACAATTCAACTGATGGATGCCACCCTGTAGATTGGTCTACAGATTATGAATTTCTCCAGTTTAGGTAGCTTGCACGCATATTGAGCAGCAAGCCAAACCAATACAAATCCATAAAAGCAGTGCTTTTTTCTGGGTATCCAAAGGGTATGCAGAAGAAAAGCATTGCATAAAAGCACCAAAAAAGCCCAACAACATTAAACAACCAAAGGCTCCATAATCCTTCTGAATCACAACACGCCTTTCCCAATCTCCTGAAGTTTCCACATGATCTGCACAAAGCAAAACAACTCCAGTAAGTCCATTTTAACCCAGACCCTCCTCGCTAACCTCTGGAGCACTGACAGGTACATTTGTAAAGCCAAAGGGCATAAACACTAAAACGGTGTAATCCCCTGCGACAGACAAAGGCAGTGTCTGATTTGCTTCCATCTTCCAAAGATGTATGCTTGTTGCTGTGTGGTACCTAAATCTAAGGTGTTAATGTACCTTCAGAAATCTCCGGAGTTGTTAACCCTAGGCAAAAGATCTGTATCTTTTAGGGCTGCCACTCTTAAATGCAACCTATAAAACCTATTTTTTTCTACTAGAAGAAATGGACATTACCTCTTGGGCTGCAGTCAAGGTAAACAGCATGCTAAGGACATTGGACAAAAGAGGATTGGCTTCAGGGAAGTGGGGATTTATCAGAAAGAAACCTTTTCTTCCTCATTTCATTATATGTGGCTGGAGTGTTGAACATTTTTCAACTACAGGGCCACATTGTGTTGTGGTGAAAGCTTCTCAGATCTCGATGTAGCACCACAGAGTTGAGATTGGAGATTGGAGATAATCCCTCAGATCACAGAACTGCAGAGTTGGAAGGGACCCTGAGGATCATCTAGCCCAACCCCCCGCAATGCAGGAATATGCAGCTGTCCCATAGGGGGATTGAACCTGCAACCTTGGTGTTATCAGCACCATGCTAATACACACAAGGGTGGCGCTGTGGTCTAAACCACTGAGCCTCTTGGGCTTGCCGATCAGAAGGCGGGCAGTTCAAATCCCCGTGACAGAGTGAGCTCCCGTTGCTCTGTCCCAGCTCCTGCCAACCTAGCAGTTCGAAAGCACACCAGTGCAAGTAGATAAGTACATACCGCTGTGGTGGGAAGGTAAATGGTGTTTCCTTGTGCTCTGGTTTCTGTCATGGTGTCCTGTTGCACCAGAAGCGGTTTAGTCATGCTGGCCACATGACCCGGCAAGTTGTCTGTGGACAAACGCCGGCTCCCTCGGCCTGAAAGTGAGATGAGCGTCACAACCCCATAATCGCCTTTGACTTAACCATATAGGGGTCCTTACCTCTAAACCAGGGGTCGGCAAATTAAGGCCTGCAGGCCAGATCAGGCCCAATTGCCTTCAGGATCCTGCCAGTGGACTGTCCATGGATCGGCGTGGGGATTCTGTTTGTTTGGGCTGTGCCATTTCTTTCCCTGCACCATTCCGTCCGTCCCCCCGCCTCTCTGTCACACACACCGCGGCGGTACCTCCTCCCTCCCTCCTCCTGGCTTCTCCCCGCCCTGCCTAGAGGAGGATGAGGGCTGGGCTGAGCTGGCTGAGCTGGCTGAGCTCCATTTTAAGCAGCCCCTCTCCGGAGCCAGCCCTCTCGTGCCGCTCATCTTCCCTCTGCCACCACTGCTACCCTGGTGCTCCTCTGGGCCAGAGAGTGGAGTGGATGAGCTCGCTCTGCCTACCCTTGAGAAGAAGCAGCAGTGGCGGCGGTGGCAGCAGCCCCTGGGAAGGTAAGCGCAGCGGCTGGGGCTGGGGGGTAGGACTACTTGTCCCCCTCACCTCTTCTTCCAGCTACCCCCCCCCCTCGGTGCCACTTTTCCAGCCCGCCGCATGGTCTGAGGGACAGTGGACCGGCCCATGACTAAAACAATTTGCTGACCTCTGCTCTAACCAACTGAGCTCAGATAGAAAAGATCTCTCTCGCTCTTCTTTAGAGAGGATCTCAAAAGGTACTATTTGCCAATTGTAGCGCCCTTAGCGGGCAACAGAGCAGAAGGTGTAACCTTGTGCAGATTTATTTAGTAGCAGAATCCAAAATAAAAAAAATGGCTTGGTGTCCGATTGGCAGCCAGTGCAACACCCTCAGCACTGGCAGGATATGTGCACGATAAGGAGCACCAGCCCTCATCTGGGCTATGGGGTTCTGCCCCAGCTGCAGCCTTGGGAAGCCCCACATAGATTACAATACAAGATTCCAGGCAGGGCTCCCCCCCCCTCCCAGCAGTATGAAAGCAAAAATAGGCAGGTTAACCAGGTTGATCAGCCAGGTAAACAGGCCGAATTCCAGGAAGACAAGAGCAGGCCAGGTGCCAAGAGCGATCAAAAGGAAACGGCAACCAGAAATGAGGTGGAGGATTAAACCAGCAGCACCCGCTACCTGAAGAACGTGAACTTCAGGTGCATGCCTGGATTACCAAGGATCAGGGCTTTTTTCAGCCGGAACCTTCCGGAATTCAGTTCCGGCACCTTTCAGGTCGGCGCCGTTGTCATTCAAGAGAACGAGGGAGGTGTTCGTGACGGGTTCCGGCGCCTCTTTTTCTAGAAAAATAGCACTGATTCCTGGGTAAGCTTCTTTGTGGACCCTGGGAAATGCTCTTCAAAGCAAAAGTCCAGCTTCGTTTAAGCAGCTTTAGTGCAAACAGATCTCTTCTCTGAGGCCTACCTGAGTCTGGCTGACCAGGGCTAGAGTGAGAAGGAAGTGAGCCCTGAGGAAAACCTAAAATGGCTCCGGATTCTGGTCTGCTAGGCTAGTAGAAAACATGGAGTGGACTTTTCAACATTATAGTGGACTGGGTTTGGTGGGCCGCTGCCTTCTTTATGGAGGTCCGAGGGACGATACCAGAAAGCTGAACATCGCCTCACCTAGTTTCCCCCTTCTTATTGTCATTGTTTTCCTGCCATCGTCTCTTCGGAGGATTTCTCCTGCCCAGATTAGGATTTAATTGTATTCCTAGTGAGTCCCTTCTGGTTGTACTCATTCTTTCAGATGAATGTTTCATCAATATGATTAGGATCACATCTCCAGTCTAGTTTATTCAGGCAATCCGTTGTGACAGCTCAGAGCATAATACTCCCTCAAGGAACTATTTGATACCATCCCTATCATTTTATTCAAATCGTAGTTTGCATTCCACACTGGCAGTATAATGTTCTTCTCCCCTGGATTATATTTCATGAAATCCAGCAAGCACTAAAATCCTTCCCAAAAGGGATGAGATTAATATTTATATTAGCCGACATCATCATATTATTAGCATACGGGGATATTCTGCCAGGCAAGGAGGGGAAGAAAAGGCTGTGCGTGGTCATCATCAACATAATCATAAATCTCTCTGAAGAATCAGCCGCAAAAGAAGAAAGGAAAAAAGGAATTGAAAACGTGGCAATGTGCAAGGCTGCCTTGTGAAAAATGAACTTCTGCCCACAAACATAGACTTACCTCAGTAACCAATAACTACACAGAATGTGGATTTTATCAATGCTGCTTCTTCCAGTTACATGAAATCCTAAAACATCCAGTTGATTGTCCCTGTCCAGCTCCTTCCCCCCATCATTACAGATGCTTAGTATTCTACAGTATCTCTGGAACCCAATGGGTATTGTCCTATTCTGGGTGAAATCCAAAATGTTGGTCACCATCTTTAAAGACCTGAATGACTTGGACCCACAATAATTGAAGGACTGTCTCCTCCATGTTATTCTTTATGAACCTGGTACCTTCCAGATGTTTTGGACTACAACTCCCACCAGCACCAGCCAGTAGCACACTGCTTGTAGTCCAAAACATCTGGAGTGCATGAGGTTAGTGAAGACTGCCCTATAGGAACGTGTCTATTCCCTTAGGCCAAGAATGGAGAACTTGTGGCCTGACAGCTCCCATCTGGCAAGGTCCATTGTCAGGAATTATGGAAATTATAGTTAAACAAACACCTGGAGAGCCAGAGGTTCCCTACAGGTTTAAGAAGTGATCCCTCTCTGGGCTTTTGTGTTTTGATCCACTACTAATTCGTGTGACTGTTTTTTATTATAGTCTTTGCTTGTATTTTTAAAATTGATTATTGGTAATTAATTAACTTCTGCTGATGCAAACCACTTTGTGGATTTGCTTCTGGAATCAGAAAAGCAAGATATAAATCCTCTGATAATCAGAGAGTTCTTAACCACATATGGACAAATCCTGTAGGCCAGTGTTTCCCAACCTTTTTTGGGCAAAGGCACACTTGTTTCATGAAAAAAATCTCGAGGCACACCACCATGCCAGATGGGGAAAGGTCACTTTTTACTTATGTAAAAAAAAATAAAAAAATAGTAACAGCATAGAAGGTAATGGTAGATGACTGTTAGGGTCTCCCCCCAAATGCAGAATTCTATTAATATCTTCCTTAGCGAGCCGCGTTAACCCCTGTAATGCTTTCTATAGAGTAAGCATAGGGGACACTGGGGGATGTGGAACCAAGGGGGCAGTGGGCCAAAAGAGTTCGGGATCTACTGCTTTAAACAGAAATAAGAGCCAGTGGGTTCTTCCTTTTTTAAAGTATCGTTTCAGCGGGGACAGCAGTCCGGATTTCCAAAAAGCGGCGCTTTTTTGCGTCTGAGCAAAGAAGAGAGAGAGGGGGGAAAAAGAGAGAGAGATTGATTTGTGGCTGCGCAAAGGGGGGAGGAGCCCAGGAGTAAAAGTAGGAAGGACGAAGGGAGGGGAAAGGAAAGTTAATAGAAGGAAAGGCGGGTGGGAGAGAAAGAGAAAGAAAGAGGGAAGGAAGGGGGGAAGAGAAGTGGAAAGGAGGGAGACCGAGGCGGGGGAGAAGCGTCTGGAGAGTTGCTCCGAAGTTTGGGGGGCCGCGGGGGTGGGCGCGCGTCCCAGGAGGCGGAGGCCAGCCCGGGCTGGGAGCCGCGCCGCGGCCCGGGGGCGGTAGGCGGACCGCGGCTCCTAGGATGTGGAAAGGGGACGGCGGCGCAGGGGGAGGAGACCCGCACGGCTAGGGCAGCACGCAGGGGGAGGGGAGCGGGCCGGAGGCGGGCGAGGGGGGCCCGAAGGAACATGGCCTCCTTCCCCGCGGGCCCAGCCGAGCCCCCCGGCCGGGGAGGGCGGCGTGCCCCCGCCGCCGGAGGAGAGCAGAGGCAGGAGGAGGAGGACGAAGGCGCTGCCGAGGAGGCGCGCCAACTTCTGCCAACTTCGGCGCCCGCCCCGTCGCCGCAGGCTCCTCCCGGCCGAGAGCCAGAGGACGGCGGCGGAGCAGGAGGAGGAGGATCGGGTTTGGCGACGGCTGCTGCGTCCTCTCCAAGTGCGGGGCTGGCCTCCGCCGCGCCCGATCCTCCGCGCTCGCCGCGCTTCTCGGCGGAGCAGGTCTCGTGCGGGTGCGAGGCGCTGCTGCAGGCGGGCGACCCCGGCCGGCTTGGCCGCTTCCTGGGCTCGCTGCCGCCCGACGCCGAGGCGCCGTGCCTGGAGGCGCAGGCGGGTGAGAGCCTGGCCAAGGCGCGCACGCTGCTGGCCTTCCAGCGCGGCGACTTCGCCGAGCTCTACCGCCTGGTGCAGAGCCGGCGATGGGATGTGGGAGGGAGCTCGCTCGCCGCCCCGCGTGTGCCTATGTGGGGCACGTTACAGCCCCGTGACGTCAGCGCCACGCAGGCAGCCAGGCAGGCAGACGGCGAGAGCCCCGCGCTGGGCGGCCTCTCCTCGCCGCCGCCGCCCCGCCTCTCGCCGCCCGACTCGCCCGCCTCCCTCTACGGCACACCAGGCAACGTCTCGCGGCACACCGGTTGGGAAACACTGCTGTAGGCCACACATATCTGAGATACTGTCCTTCCCACTCTCTGCCATTGTGCTATCCACTGAACCTTCTCTCTGATCCATGGCCTGGTTCTCCCAGAGGAGGAAAACCAGTAACTGGGCTGCAATGCTTCAAACTGCAGGTGTGGGCTCACACGATTAAGTGATCTTTTACACCGAAATAAATACATCCCAATGCATAGAGAATTAGCGTATCAGCCTGGAATCTGGTAATCTAATTTGTCCACCTGAAATCTAGGAGGAGTATTGCTCCCCACCCAAAGGTTTACCACAAGGATGGGAACCTGTGGCCATCTATAATTTGTTTTGACTCTAGCTCCCATCAGCCCAAGTCAACTTAACCAATGGTCAGGGATGATGGGAATTGTAGTCCAGCAATATCTGGAAGGTCACGGGTTCACCACTCTTGGTTGAACACCTCAGTGAAAGTTTGGCCTGTATTGTCTTTGTTGCCTTCAAACCCCCTCCTCAATTAAATGCTGTCAGTCTTTGGCATAAACTATAGTTTCAGCTGACTTGTATTCTCTCTGTAATGTTTCTCCCACAGGAAGTCACCATGCCCCACCAGCTAGTGGAAGAGAGGACATGCTTAGTTCAGAAATTCTTACTGGTGAGTGGATTGTCACTGGGGGCTGGTCTTTCTCTTTCACCATGACCTGCCTTGCAGAGTTGTTAAAGATATATAACAGGGAGAGGAAAGAGAACTGTGTTTACCACTTTGAACTTATTGGGAACAAGTGCAGGATAAAAACTAAATAATTTTGCAGAAAATGACCTTCCATCCATATAAAACTGGATTTAGAATTGCACCATAGCCTTCCACACATGCCCAAAATTGGCACGAGAGAGGCATGCTTACTCACATCTAGGTATTTTGAGAATTGATTCATCTGAATGAGGTGCAAAGTTAAACCTTGGGCATACAGAGTGAAAGCTGTATGGGTGTTAGCCTCAAAGTCATTATACTGTGCTAGGGAGTGGGTGGCGCTGTGGTCTAAACCACTGAGCCTCTTGGGCTTGCCAATCGGAAGGTTGGCGGTTCAAATCCCCGCGATGGAGTGAACTTCTCTTGCTATGTCCCAACTCATGGCAGGCCGGCAGTTTGAAAGCATACCAGTGCAAGTGGATAAATAGGTACCACTGTGGCGGGAAGGTGAATAGCATTTTTGTGCACTCTGGTTTCCGTCACGGTGTCCCTTTGTGCCAGAAGCAGTTTAGTCATGCTGGCCACATGACCCGGAAAGCTGTCTGTGGACAAAGGCTGGCTCCCTCAGCCTGAAAGCGAGATGACAGCCACAACCCCATAGTCTCCTTTGACTGGACTTAACCACCCAGAGGTCCTTTACCTTTTTTTTTTTAACCATTATACTGTATTTTCTTGTGACTGCAAGCAATAGAAGAAAATACGCAGCAAATAGCAATGTGTTAATGGTATCCACTGAGCAAAGGTCCTGCTTGTTTGATACTCCCACTTTTACCTTTTAGTTGTGTGTACATTAAGCTACTAGTTTATTATTGCTTCTAACCTATCATGTAGCTATTTATTTATTTCATTTATATCCCACCTTTTCTTCCAAGGAGCTCAACGGTAGGATATGTGGTTCTCCCTCCCTCTTCATTTAATCCCCATAAGAACCCTGCGAAGTAAGTTGGGCTAAGAGGCAGGGAATAGTCTAAGGTCACCCAGGTAACTTCATGGCCAAGTGGGGTTAAATCCAGGTCTCTTGGTCCTAGTCCGACACTCTAACCACACCACCACACTGGCATATTTCCCCCACCAATGTGCCATAAACTTCTGTGCTTTGAATTTGATGGATAAGGAACGGTGAAGTTGCTCAAACTTATGAAACCATCTGCCTTCACAGCCTTCTTACCTACCTGGGGGTGGGGAAACAATATTGTTAGGAGTAAAGGTAAAGGACCCCTGACAGTTAAGTCCAGTCGTGAACTACTCTGGGATTGTGGCGCTCATCTCGCTTTACAGGCCAAGGGAGCCAACATTTGTCCGCAGACAGTTTTTCTGGGTCATGTGGCCAGCATGACTAAGCCGCTTCTGGTGAAACCAGAGCAGCGCACGGAAACACTGTTTACCTTCCCGCCAGAGCGGTACCTATTTATCTACTTGCACTCTGAAGTGCTTTTGAGCTGCTAGGTTGGCAGGAGCTGGGACCGAGCAACGGGAGCTCACCCCGTCACGGGGATTCGAACTGCCGACCTTCTGATCGGCAAGCCCTAGGCGCTGTGGTCTAAACCACACTCGCGTAAGCTTAGTTGATGGGGTTGCATAAGGAAAACATAGTGGGGCAGGTCAGCGGCTCATTCACTCTCCAGCATCCTGTTCTCACAGTGGCCAACCCGTTGCTTATGGGAAATCCACAAGCAGGACCTGAGTTTAGACACACTCTCCTCTCCTGCTGTTCCAAGGGACTGCCATTCAGAAGCCCACACCCTCCAGCAGTGGAGGTAAAACATCAGGGTATACAGAAGCCATTGTAGCAGAAAGCTGTGCTTGCTATGTGTGCTCTTGGGCACTAGATGGCGTCACATTTGTTTTCTTTGAGGTTCTGGGACGGTCCGCTGCCCAGTTACCAGAGCTTTCAAACTGTATCTAAAAAGAAAAACTCTAGAGCAGCATTTCTGCTTTCTTCCACACACAAAAAGGCAGAGGAAATAAGATGTGCTCCAGTCCTGGCAATGCCATTTGACCCTTGACCCATTTGAGGCGCTTTTTGATTGTTTGTTTTTCAATCAAGCAATGCATAAAATGTATGAAATAAACAAATGACTGTGTTCTACCATTGCTTCCTACTACAGTGGTACCTTGGGTTACATACGCTTCAGGTTACAGACTCCGCTAACCCAGAAATATTACCTCAGGTTAAGAACTTTGCTTCAGGATCAGAACAGAAATCATGCTCCGGTGGCCCGGCGGCAGCGGGAGGCCCCATTAGCTAGAGTGGTGCTTCAGGTTAAGAACAGTTTCAGGTTAAGAACAGACCTCCAGAATGAATTAAGTACTTAACCCGAGGTACCACTGTACTAGGAAAAGGTCTCTGGACACAGAGCTCTTCCCAGACTCACTCTAACCTCCTTGCGGTCATTAGAATCAGGGTGTTTCCAAATTGGTGCTTATCCTTGGGCCAGAATTTCTCATGCATGCAAGTTTTTCTCAGTGCCCACATGACATCATTTGTATGCACTGGAGCATGCGGAGGGAGGGCACACACTCCTCAGGATTCTTTCCTGCACACTTTCTCCAGAGTTTCCCCAGAAGCCAATGACTGACTCATCTCCTTTCACTCCGATTGACTCCAGTCGGCAGGAAGGATATGAAGACCTTGGCTAAAAAGCTCCTCCTTCGTCCCAATTGGAGGCCTCTAGGATGCTGGAGACAGAGACCCTGCTGCAGAAATAGTAGTGTATCTTTGACCCGCCCCCCCTCCCCAACCCTAGGCCGCCACACCTGTGTGAATGCAATGCGATGTTGGCTGGGGCTGATGGAAGGGCAACAAGTTCACCTTAAAAACTAACTAGGAGTTACTAGTGAGTGATTCTCTTCCATTGGGCTAGATTCGGACTTATATCTGGCTGAGTACACATGCATAGGATTGCACTGAAGCTGTAATTCTGCGAAAGGAAATAATTCTGGGAGAAAGTCCCATTGAACACAACTGTACTCACTTCCAAGGTAATGTGCACTGGATGGTGCTATTTATTGTGGCATTTGCGGCCAGAGAGCTTATGCCAAAACCAGTCTGTTCCTCCTCCGAGTAAAGGTAAAAAAGCCCTGGACAGTTAAGTCCAGTAAAAGGCGACTATGGGGTTGTGGTGCTCATCTCGCTTTCAGGCCTTGGGAGCCTGTGTTTGTCCACAGACAGCTTTCCGGGTCATGTGGCCAGCATAACTAAACCGCTTCTGGCGCAACAGTACGCCGTGATGCAAACCAGAGTGCACAGAAACACTGTTTACCTTCCCGCCGCAGCGGTACCTATTTATCTACTTGCACTGGCATGCTTTCGAACTACTAGGTTGGCAGGAGCTGGGACAGAGCAACGGGAGCTCAACCCATTGTGGGGATTCAAACCCAGGGGCGTCTTACCCATAGAGGCAAGTGGTGCGGGGTGCCAGAGTGCCAAGTTCTGGAGCGTGCCAGGGAAGAGGTGGAGGCTGGGCGCGGCGCCTTCCAGCATCAACTCGCCGCCCTCGCCCACCTCGCTGAAGCAGCGCTGTGTCCAGAGCCTCTGCCTCTTCCCCACCAGAGGAGCCACTGACTGCCTCCTCCAGCCCCACAAAGCTTGCCATAAAAAGGTGGGCAACTCTGGGAAACGGGGGTGGGGGCGCCGGGGGGATCTTTGCACCACGGCGCCGGATATTCTCAAGATGGCCCTGTTCGAACCCCCAACCTTCTGATCAGCAAGCCCAAAAGGCTCAGTAGTTTAGCCCACAGCGCCACCCACATCCCTTCCTCCAAGTACTGTAAAATAACAGGCTGTGCCCACTTACTGGGAGGAAGCCACAATGAACATGAAGGGATTTACCTCTGAGTGGCTGTCCAGATGATTGATTTACAGCACACCTCCCCCTCCTGATGTTCAGACAACCCCCCCCCACCTTTGTGGAGATTCCCATTCTTCACTTAAATATTTGCATATTTGTTTCCATGCAAATATAGAAACTTCTTGCTCTCAGGGAAAACTAACCGCAGTGCTTTGTATCTCCTTACCTGGGAATGAATTCTTAAGAACTCGGCATGTCTTACATTTAAGGAAACATATAGATGATTGCACTCCCCCCATTTTTCATTTCCAGATAGGGGTTTATTGCAGGATCCATGCTCCTCATTACTGAAAGTTGCTCTGACTCTTTTTGCAGTTATGGGTATGAAGGTATCAGTTCATACCCCTCCCCCGCCACCCATTTAACCTGGATTTACTGTCGTTAATGACCCATTTGGGATATTAAGCCCCTGTCTGGAAGTACTCCAAGGAATTGTACAGTACTTCATTTTTAACCTCTGGCTGGCACTCCTTCAGGCCTAATCTTATACTGTATATGTCTACACAGCTAAGTGTGCATAGGATTGCAGCCCAAGCCTAACCCTACGGGACAGCCTCTCCTGGTATGTCCCACAGAGGAACTTACGGTCTTCAAACAAAAACATCTTGGAGGTCCTGGGCCACAGAGAGGTTAGGCTGGCCTCAACCAGAGCCAGGGTTTTTCGGCTGTGGGTCCGATCTGGTGGAACGCTCTGTCACAAGAGACTAGGGCCCTGCGGGACTTGACATCTTTCCGCAGGGCCTGCAAGACAGAGCTGTTCCACCAGGCCTTTGGCCAGGGCACAGCCTGACTCCCTCCTTTGGCAATCCTCACAGAACTCTAGCCCAATGGTTGCCATTAATTTGATTTGAATTAATTTTATAATGAAATGATTTTAGAATGTTGTATTATTTTATTTTTGTTAGCCGCCCTGAGCCCGGCTTCAGCTGGGGAGGGTGGGATGTAAATAAAAATTTATTATTATTATTAAGAGTGGTAGAGCATCTGCTTTGCACGAAAGATGTCCCTGTTTCAAACTCTGGCCTCTCTATTTAGGACTGCGGGAGATTCCCTGCATGGAACCCTGAAGAGCTGCTTCCAGTCAGTGTAGACAACACTGGACCAAAGGTTTGACTTTTCAGTAAAACGTAGGAAGCTGCCTTATACTTACTGAAAAGAAACAGCCCAATCCAGTATTGGTATCTACTTAGAAGAAATCCCCATTAAGTCCTAGATAGTGTGTTTAGCAGGCTTTGCAAGCCCAGGACCCCCAGATGTTGTTGGATTATAACTCTCCACCCTTTGCTGGCTGGCACTGATGAGACTAACAATCCAGTGACATCTGGAGGCCACCAGATTGGCAAAGGCTGGGGGTCCAGGATTGCAGCCTCAGTTTATTTGAGTGCGGTGGGTTTTACCGCTTGCTAAAAGTGCCTGTAGCTGAGTCATATGCAGGTTTACTTGGGCCCACAAGAGTTTAATGGGATGCGAATGTGAGTTTAACATAAAATTTTATTACGGCCATAGGCCCATACAAGTAAAAACAACACATAAATAACAGCTTGTGCACGTGGGAAAAAACAGCCGCTAAAACACCACTATAACAATAAAATGCTATAAGATGGAATGGCATACTACGCCTTAATTAGCTTGGAGTGCTCCTTGGCATCGCTTTTGGGTAAGGACAGCGACCAGGAACCTAGCCACTTTCAGGGTCGTATGGGTATCCTTATCCTGCAAGATTTGGGCAAGGTGGAATTTTGGTGGGGTACCCTCTAGTTTCTGTATGATTGATCCCAACAAATTTGCCCGTGGCACATTGAACAAGGGGCAAGTGAACATAATGTGCTGGAGCGACTCCGGCGTCTCCTTATCACATTCGCACATGGCGGAGGCTTGGCCCTTTGAGAATCTATGTCTCAGGACATTGGAGGGAAAAACGTTAAACCTCGCTTTGGTGAAGGCCAGTCTATGGGCAACAGTTTCATACTCCCAAATGTACAGGAATGTGAGTTTCATCCTCAGAGCATTAAAAAAATGGATTTTTAAAAAACCTCTGCTCTGGGGCCTCAAAAATTAAATATGAAAAGAGGCCAGGGAGGAATAAATGGAAGAGTAGGATTTTTTAATTTAATACTCCTGGTTGAGGCACTCTGAGATATATTGGGCAGTAGAGGGTATTTAAAGTATTATTATTTAACCACATTTATATACCGCTTATTTTTTGTTTATTGGTTTTATTTATATACCTGCAGGTCTCAGAGAGAAACCCCGCAAACTTGGGGTCTCCAGCTGTTGTTGGACTACAACTCCCATCATCCCTGACCACTGGTCCTGCTAGCTGGGGATAATGAAGGGAATTGTAGCCTGAAAACAGCTGGAGACCCAAGTTTAAGGAACACAGCATCTCCAGGTCAGGTATGGACCCTTTGGCGGTCCCTCTGGTTTCGGTGGGGTGGGGCATTTTAAAGGTTTGGGGGAGAACAGTCTGTGTCTGATCAAAGAAGCTGAAAACTTAAGGGGTAAAAAAAACTAGCCAGCCACCTTTCAGAGAGAGCAGAAGGATGAACCAGTCAGACAGACAAACCTGGAACTAGGCCGGCCAGAAGTCCCTGGTGCGCGGTCCTGCCATTCCAGGCAAGCAGCCTTTACTGCTGCCGTGGAAAAGGCTTATTGTGCGCGGTCTACTCGGGAGCAGGTGCTCGATGGCGCTCCAGGGCGCGCCCGGTTTGAGGGAGGGAGAGAGCGGCGGCCTGCCTCGAGCGGCAGCGTGGGCGCCTCGGCCTGGGAGACCAACGGTGCGCTCGTGACTTTTCGCACAAAGTCTCAGGAGTCCCAAAGGGCACGTTTCCCAGGGCCGGAAGTTCTACTTTAAATGCGCTTGGGGAGAAAGAGATCGGAGGAGGAGGAGGAGGAGGAGGAGGGAGGGGCGGAGCAATCGCTTCCGAAAGGAAGCCTCGCAAGGCTGATTCCACCAAGGGCCAACTGGCCTGATAAAGGATGCCTCTAAACCGCCTCCCCTGCGGACATCCAGTTAATAATAATAAATGGAAAGCGTAATGCCGGTGGTCAACATAAGAGGTTTAAAGACTCCCTCAAGGCAAATCTTAAAAAAAAAAAGTAGTATAAACGCCAACAGCTGGGAAACACTGGCCTGCGAGCGCTCCAATTGGAGAACAGCCTTTGCCAAAGGTGTCTTGGGCTTTGAAGACACAAACTCAGGACGCAAGGGAGAAACGCGCTAAGAGGAAGGCACATTTGGGAAACCCTCACCGTGATCCACTCCCACCCGGAAACCTGTGTCCCCACTGTGGAAAGACGTGTGGATCCAGAATTGGCCTCCACAGTCACTTAAGGACCCACGTGTTTATGGAAGACAATCTTACTTGGCTACGAGTGATCGCCAAAGAAGAAAAAGAATTTTATTATTTGTACCCCGCCTTCTGATGGGGTTGTTCCAGCCACTCTGGGCGGCTTCTAACCTATACAAAAACAAAATAAAAGATTAAATTTTAAAAAGCTTTCCCAGGACCCAGACGAGCCGAGATCCGCTGCTCCCTTCGCGAACTGACGCCTGGCCGGCCCCCTGTACAAGGCAGCGGATCCTGCGCGGAAAGGGGCGCAGGCAAGCGCACGTCCTTAGACGTGCTCCTCAGGGGGGAAATTCTGGGACTGGGCACCAGGCGGGGAGGGGACCGGGTCAGGGGCTTTCCCGCAAATGGGTTTCAGATGGGATTAAGTGGTCCTCTTTGACTTGACACGATTAAAAAAAGCGCGTGATTTTCTCCATCACCTTGCAACTGGAAATCTGGACGGGTTGGAGAGGGAGGGTGTGCCCGTGTCCTCGTCGCTTGTTTTCTGTTTGCACCTTTAAAGCGTACGGCTTCCCACCTCAAAGAATACAGGGAACTGTAGTTTACCCCCTCACCGAACTACAATTCCCAGCACGCTTAACGTACTGCGCTTCCCAGCATTTTATTTTTATTTTTATTGACCTTACTCGTGTGCTTGGCTGGCCTCAATTAACGCTTTAAACGTATGGTGCGTATACAGCCTGTAAAGAACGATTTCCGACGGGGACCCCGGAGACGTCCAGTTTCTGGACGCCCCAATGGCGGGGTCTCGTTTCCCTCTCGCTTGATAGAGACGCGCGCCTGAGAATCAACTCGCGCGCGCGGCGCGCTCTCCAAAATCCGGATGCGTCTGTAGGTAGCACCAAAAGGACGATTAAAAATTATAATCACCGGAAAGGCTGTGTATGTGTGTGGGCGCATTTGCGTGCGAGGCAGTCCATACATAATCGCTCTTGCACCTTTTCTGTGTCAAGCATTGCGTTCACTTTCCTTTGATCGTACACTGTTTAGATTAGAACCAGTAATTCAACGAAAAAGCCAAACATTTCATTTGCACAGCGCCCAGCGAGCCTATGTTATCGGGCAACTAACAAAAGAAACAAAAACTATTTCGGGCTGCAATCCTAACCCGACAGACCTGGGAGGAGAAGCCCCGTTGAGCTCAATAGGACTTGCATCCGAGTAGTCACGGCTAGGACTGCGCTGTCAATAGGTTGAATAAAACAGCATCTGAAAACATCGGCTAATCACTCGTCCTCAGCCTTCCGGGAGAGTTTACGCGCAGACTTTAGCGAGGCTTGCTCCTAAGTAAACAGGCAGGGAGGAGTGCGTTTGCGCGTACTCTGCGCATCCTCACAATACCGATCCCGGGGGTTTGCTGGGTAGAAGCCCCGGGTCGATTGTCGTCAGAGGACTGCCGTGCCTTAAGTCCATTGCTTTCAATGGGTCTAGGCTGCGTATAACGTCGAATATTTACCCACTGTTATTATATACTGCCTCATTTTATGGTCTCCACACACACAAAAGAAATACACAAAAATCTTTAGAGCGTAACTAAGGAGGAAAACACAATGCATTGGAGGTGGGTCTTCCCTTTGGCTGTAACCAATGAGCACGGCTCCCGCTGCACCGTTCCGCTTAATGTACGCGCCCTCGGGGCAGGGACCAGTACTGCCCCCCGCCAGCCCCAGAAAAACCCCTTACGCCATGCTTGATGCACCAGGTTCGGTGGTGGTGCAATGTAAAAGTCAATAAGGAGTGCAGCTCTGCAGTGGAGGTTGCAGCCTGGAAACGGCGGGAGGCCAGGCCCGTCCGTCCCCTCGAGGCGTCTGTCGCTCGATCGGTGCGCCCCGCTGCCCAGGCGCAGCCTGCAAGATAGCACCGAGGCTCCTGCAACCCTCTGCCCGCGTCACCTTCGCGGAAAGCCGCCGGGGCTCTCTTAACTTTCCTCCTCGGTTATTGTAAACAAATAAGGCGCGATCCTCCAGGCCCTACGATCTCGGTTTAAATATAGGCTTGTTTGTCAGTGTCATCCTTGGCGGATTAATTAGATACATTTATTCGCAATTTGGTGTCTGGCACCCCCATTTTAGGAATGCCTTATCACAAGGTGTTAATTGGGGCCAGCCAGGCACTTATGTTTCCATTAAACAGTGTGAGGACTTTTCGCAAGTTGTTTTTTCCCCTTCTCTCTCTCCCCCTCTACCTTCTCTAACCCCACCCCCCAACCACCACCTTTTTTTTATTTTGTTAACTGTGCAGTGCAAAAATATACAGGCTGTTGCGCGAAAACACTGCGGCGGAAAGGGAAGAAGGGAGTTACAGAACAACGGAAAAGGGACCTTAGGAAGGGGGGGAGAGGAGGGGCAGGCAGGAAGAAAAAAAAGCTTTGGCAGAAGGGCAGAACCACGATCTTGGGAAATGATGGGGTTGACCACCAGTTGGATCGTGGAAAATGGCAAGCCTTCGGCACGCACAGAGCTCTTCATGCGGAGGGAGATGGGCAAAGGGTAAGAACTCGGTGGGCTCAAAAAGCTGCCTTAAATCGGAGCGCAGCGACCCGACGCAGCTTCTCGATGCCTTGGCCAAGGAGTCCCAGTCCATAATGGTCACTTTCCCGTTTGCCGCCCATGAAAAAGGATAGGTTGCTAAGGTTTGTAACGCTCAAAGCTCCGCGTAGCACTAGTAAAATATCGCGCCACCAACGCCAGCTTTATGATTCCCGAGCCTACTTCTGATGAAGGAGGCAGGGAAATAGGACTGGAGCTTTTATCAGCTCTTTGCCTGCATATTCTGTTCCGGCGACCTTGCATGGTTCCGTTTGCAGAGGGGAGGGGGGGAATCAGATGACCTAGCAATCGCAATGCACTTGATCCACACCACGTTTGGAAGCTTTGCCTTACGCATTCCCGCCCCGCGCCCGATCCATAG